GATACATTCATTCCCCTCCATCAAAAGCCTCTCGGCCTCCAGAAGTAGTTGGCTTGTCTATGGCCTCTTTCTAACTACCTTCTTTCCTTTCTTTCCTTCTTGTGGCACGCATTGAACCGAGCCAATTTCGCTCCAAGCTACCGTTACACCCACTTCTTCACCCGAACAAGCTGTGCCCTTCCTTGACCTTCGGCCATGAACCCATCCATTCCACCCTCAACAGCCGAATACGGCGGAGGTATGTCGTAAATCATTGCTGCAAACTGCTAAGAGTCTGGATTTTGCGCCAATGATGACCGAGCAGAAACGAAATAGCTGGCTGACCACGTCACATGGACAGATGAGGTTTCTGCGATCGTACTTGACCCGGGCTATTCCACAACACGCGCTGGATTCGCTGGTGAGGATACACCGAAATCATTGATTCCGACGTATTACGGCAAATACACCTACGATAGTCAGGAAAAGTTGATATTCGGGGATGATGTCTTCGTCACCCCCCGTCCTGGTCTTTCAGTCCACAATCCCATGGGCCGGGACGGGATAGTAGAAGACTGGGACATGGCCGAGAAAGTATGGGAATATTCATTCACCTCGCGCCTCGCAGGACCCAGACCTGGAAATCCCTTACAGAATGGATTGAATGACACTCCAGACAACGAGCTGCCTACGGAAATGGAGGGTTTGGAAACCGAAGAAAAGCCTCTCGCGGACAGCCCGTTGTTGATGTCGGAACCTGGTTGGAACCCCACAAAGGCTCGCGAGAAGATCATCGAGATTGCTATGGAGAAATGGGGCACTCCAGCCTTCTATCTAGCGAGGAATGGCGTTCTCGCAGCGTAAGTTATCTGCCGCCAACATCTACCGCGATCTAATCTGTTGACTTGACTTCCCATTTCTAGCTTCGCGGCCGGCAAAGCCTCTGCATTGGTTATCGACATCGGTGCTTCCAACGTATCTATCACTCCGGTTCATGATGGGATGATTCTGAAGCGAGGAGTTCAGCATTCCCCTCTTGGAGGAGAATATATCTCGTCGCAGCTCCGCGCTCTCTTCAAGACGAATGCACCGCAGCCGATCACCATAACACCCCATTATCTCATCTCCTCCAAAATTGCTGTGGATGCCGGACAGCCTCCACAAGCCAAGTACAAGACTTTTTCACCTGAGAAGGCTCCACATGCTAGCTATCGCACTTTACTCGAGGAGCGCACGCTGTGCGAATTTAAGGAATGCGTGGTCCAGGTTTGGCCCGGGCCCAATAAGCTTTCTGGAACGGGTCCAAATGGAGTTTTGAACGAGGACCTTGCCAAAACCAGTCCCGGGCGGCCTTTCGAGTTTCCTGACGGCTATAATCAGGTCTTTGGTGTCGATCGTTATCGAGTCGTCGAGTCGCTCTTTGACGCCAAGGCCGCGATTCCGGACCCTGAATCGATTTTCCCACCAGCCACACAGGCGCAGACCGTGCCCGAGTTGATCAAGAATGCACTGAATGGCGTTGATGTGGACGTTCGCCCACACCTCTTGGCGAATGTTGTTGTGACAGGCGCCTCAAGCTTGCTCTATGGTTTCACAGACCGCTTGAACCAAGAGTTAATGCAGATGTACCCAGGGCCGCGCGTGCGTATCTCAGCCCCGGGAAACACCGCAGAACGAAAGTTCGGCTCTTGGATTGGTGGAAGTATTCTGGCCAGTCTCGGAACTTTCCACCAGCTATGGATCTCGAAAAAAGAGTTCGAGGAGCATGGTCCTAACATCGTTGAGAAGCGGTGTAAGTAAGATTGTCCGCCTGTTATCCCTATACTATCTGTCTTCAGGTTTATTACAAGATGTCCGAAGGTCATTATTGCGTACCTTCTACGAATTGGTCTGGTGCTTTTTCTTGCGACGAAGCTCTGGTAATTACCGTATAACTCGAAATTCTATTTTCGTTGATTTCATCAATCGGCTGTTGCTATGGTTGTGTACCAAATCTACAAGACTCCGCCTCGTAAGCACAGGAGGTGTATGATCTTTCAAACTCAAACTCCCCCCATCATAGATCTTTTAACGTTGTAAGGAAGGCTGTATTCATGGCGGGCCCCACTCGGCACCCTCGGCGTATTACGCACCTTAACAGCCTGTGGCATCGGTCATTCCATCCTGAAAACAAGCAATCCTCCTGAACTTCAGTCGATCCACGGTTGAGACATCACAGGGGAATATCATGTTCATTGTTGCGCAGCTGGGGATTGATGCAAGTCCGCTTTGTGTGCCTCTGGCCCGAGTATCGAAGGAAGGGCTGTAATCACCGGTTGCAAGGTTTCTTTTTGCTTTCCGAGACTCTCGTAGGCGGTACCCCTGATCTTGAGCGCCTTCATCTCTTGAGGCAGGCTTGTCTGGGCGGGGAACAAGTGGAAGCGAGGCGCTGTATTGGATTTTGGCTTGAGTGAGTAGGTGTTGAGCGTTTCCGAGTCCTTTTTCGGAAGCCATGCCATGTCTTCGGCGGAGGTTGGCTCGAGAACGTCGGGATGGGTTCCATGCGCCGCACCGGTATTCTTGGACGATGCCATTTGAAATTTGCTCCACGGTCCGTCCTTCTTGAGCCCGGAACTATTCTCAACAGTAGCCTCGTTCTCATTGCGTGCTGCAGTCTCCCAAGCATCCTGCACGCGGTCAGACCTGAAGAACTGCAGCAATTGGGCTTTCATCGTCTCCCGCCTCAATGATACGTGTGGCATAGGGGAGTGTTCGGCTGGGACAGGTGCTGATTCTCCTTCGCGTTTCCGGCTTTTATGCAAGAATTTGAGGTGATCCAGAGAGATACTCCGTGCCCTTGACGCCCTGGATGGCGCTGTGGATGGTCTCTGGACTGACTGGTCTTGAGGTTCCGTCGGCTTCGATATGGATTTTGAGAGCGTCACTACATTGCGCCGAATGCTGGGGACGAATACTTTGGAGGCCTTTCTGTCCGTCACTGCACCGACGGACGATGCTCGGTCCATCATCTGGGAAGCGCTTTCTCCCGTACTTCTTCCGGCCGCTCGCAAGTTTGGAACACTTTTCTGCATCAACCTTCGGCGTTCATTCGGCCACAAATTAGGCGCTGATTGCGGAAAATCTGGTGCACGAGGCAGAGGTTTGTATGATATGGGAGAACAGGTTCCGGCGTTTGAGTCCTTTTCAAATACTCGTTCTTTGAGCGATCGTCCTCGCAGAAGCCGGTTGGAGCGCCGTGCGAAGGAAACCTATATTTTTGTTAAGACTCAAAGCTTTGGGCGTCATGGTACATTTCGATACTGACCACGGACTTTCGACTTGCCACACCGACACGCCGCTGCATTTCAGTTATAGCCAAGCCGAGCTGACCAAGTGCATATTGGAGGGCCACGCCTTTGCGCTCGAGCTCTGAGAATGCACTGTTCCAGCCCTCTGCGTTTGATAGCATGGCATTATAGATCGCTACCAATCTACCCGGCATTGGGCCGTTCTCGTTCGCCGATTCGAAAAGGTATCTCCAGAGGGCACCGATCGCTTCCCGTCCTTTCTTTATATCCTTCAAGGCGTCCTGGACTGCGATTGTGAATCTTTCGATTGCATGTTCAATCCTCTCGTTATAATCAGCGATGGAGAGACGAAAGCTACGGTCCCCCAGCATCTCATCGAAAACACCTAGGTTTTCCAGAGGCAGACTAAGGTACTGTATGCGTGTGCGCACATCAAGCTGTATGATGGAAAAATCCTCCGCAGTTCTCCCCAAGAATCCATCCACTTCATCCACATGGGATTGAAGAATTCTCAAAACCTCCACATCTGACTTGGCCAATCCTCTAACAAGGAGATGAACGCCAAAAGACATTTGCGCGGTAAGCTTCCAGAGTGGATGATACCTGCCACAATTCAGCATGCCGTGTCACTGAATAGCGTTTGTGACGACTGTGGCTCGATTACTTACCGTTCATCGGCTCTTTGGCGCCATTTACGACCACAGAGCCGCTCATATTTGGGTGTCTCAAGGAGATCTCGGCGTCTAGTTTGAGCGTCAAGCTCGACTGTGTCCCATCGTGCTGTATGGCGGGCCTCCGCAATCGATTCTTCAAAGGGACCCTGCAATTGGGGTATTGGGTGCAACGAAAACTGGCCGGTATGCCTTTGGCCAGATGCGATGCAGCCTCCTCGTCCCGGAGAAGGGGCACCAGCACCTGAGGCGGCCTGATTCCCTCGCTTTGCGACCACGCCGGCCATAAAGATTCGCACGCTTGTCTAGGTGCACAGCTCAATCCACAAGTTGGATTTACTCCAAAACATTCATTTATGTTTCGCAGGAGGAACGACTGTGGCGATTGTGGGGAACTATTGGCTCTACAGATTGAAATTCAGGTGAGATGTGGAGGCTATACCCCATCCGACAGTGCAGCCAGATTGGAGGAACCCATTGCAATTCAAGCTGTAGAACAGCTCGGCGCTGAAATCTGCACGACGACCGGAAGGGCAGGCAGGCGTTGAATGGATGGCAAGGAGTGGCACTCCGAGGATCAGAAAGTAAACGACGAACAAAAGAAGAAGCCGGGAAATTTGGTGAGAGAATCCGTTGGCGAGGAACGGGCCTTTCGACACCCTGGTGGAGGTGTTATCTCATACAGTTTGATAAATGGTTTTCGTCATTGGCTAGCACAGGTGTTTCTCTGACTGAAATCTTGACAGTTCTGAATTATGGGGAATCCAGATCGTACAAGTCGCTGAGGTGTGCAGAAGCAGTAGAAGGGAGAGAAGGATCCGAGGAGAAGGTGGTGGTGGAGTGGCTTTTCAATTTATAAACGAAACAAGGAAGAATAACGAAGGTAACTCAAAAGGACAACAGTCACATCTGAATTTACTTTACATGCGAAAGGCCCGGTGGACAAATCAGCCGACAGTTCCTCCAATAAGTTCTTTCAAAGTCTCTCGTATTCTTCTCTAGTGTGTGAAGGCGAAAAGGGGCGCGGGATGGGTCTAGATTTCACCTGAGACTCGCGGACACAGACCATATGGTAATTTATTTGTTCACTACTATGATGCTAATAACCATACTTCCAATCATGAGATGTATGCATACATCGCGTGCATACACTTCCCGAGTTGGCACGGCCACTACCAGATCCCGGTCTTCACCATGTGTTGGCAACTGTCACCTATGAAACGCGATCCTAGGGATCCTGGTACAAGCTGGGTCCTTGTCACTGAGACGGCACTAGTGCTCGGTCTTCCACACTGATGACGACCGGCAGTTCGCTAACGAGAATACTTCGGCATGTTGAAAGGCGTGCCTGGATAGTGGATAAAGTGGATTCCAAAATGCCAAGCCTGAACCCCCGAGAACAACCACCTTTCCACACATTCATTTTTCATGGACTGGGATCGCCGAGTCAATGCTCCCTTGCTGTGCAGTGTCATGCCTCTGGCTGTTCCGAGCTTAGAAAAACAGGATCCAAAAAATTAGTGGGAAGAGAAAGGTCGAGGAACTCCCCGAATAAAAAGTCTATATCAGCGAATCGGCCGCACTCAGGATCGGTGCTGCTGATGTTTTGTACCTCCAAAGCATTGGGTGTTGGCTGCGGTTGTGTGTACATAGGCAACAAGATATCCGTATATATGCCCTGCCCAGCATTAGAGGAAGATGGCAACAAGACGGGCATGGTCTTCCCCAAAGACCGCGGAGTGCAGACGCTCGGTAGGTCTAGCGATTGCTCATTTTCATGATCGTGCAGCTGGTATTTAGGGTTCGAAACGTCGATCTGATGAAGTGCCTTTCGTCCCAGTCGGGCCATCGCCTCTGCGGTTGACCAATAGGCACTTACTCTCTCGAGCAGAACACAGGAAGCTTCTAGGCCGGCCCTGGCTCGATTGAGGTGAATAATGAGTTTGCTTGAGCGAAATTGCTGGTACGAAACACCCATAGATAGCGTTATGGCATAAGGAATAATGGGCAGTGGTGGTAGACTTCCGGAGCATTCCGTGGCCACAATGGAATGAATTCGGACTGCGGCAAGTCCCTGACGAACATACGAAGGTTTCGACAGATCTGCAGGATGCGATAATCTGTATCTGCAGGAAAGGATGCCGACAGCATGGTAATACAGCTCAAGAAGACCTTTCCTGCTATTAGCAATTGCCCATAAGAATGGCTTCTATCTGTTCGTGTGATCACTCTGTAATATGACATCTGATCAGAACAGAACATACCTAAAGTAGCAAAGTCCAAGTCGGAACACCGATCCCCTGTGATGCTCTCAAACGTGGGGAAATCTGCTTCCCATCCAACCGTGTGATCCGAAGCTGGTCTGTAGAACGAGATCACCGTTGATAGTAAAACTGAGATCGCGAACCATATGTCGAAAGCTGATTTTGTTGCAAAATGATCAACTCGAGGTTTTCCAATTCCGATGTCACGTTCAGACATAAAAACGGGTCGGCCACCTAAGCAGGCATGCATTCTGTCCAAAGTCCATAAGCACCAAAAGAGACTCGCTAGAGAATCCTCCGGCCTCCGACCAGGACGATGAAGATGTAGGCCCATTGTCTGAGCCTGGTGAATTGCCTGGCAAAGATGCATCGAGGCTGATTCGGCGCCTTCATAGCCTTCGCGATGCAGAGACATGAGCGCCAGAATACGGATGCGGGTGATCCTGTCGGCTTCCAAGCCGACATTCATGGCATTCACAAGTTCACCGTATATCTCAGAGCAGAATTGACGGGAAGTCATAACCTGACCTTCTTCACATAGGCGAAGATAAGGTTCGGCTGCGCGAACTTTAGCTGCTACGAGACATACTGCGCGTTCTAGGAACACAGATATCGAATCTCCAGCATGAGCTGAAAGCAGGAAATCTGGGTCGACAAGGGGTAATATATGATTGAGTTTAGTGAAATAGATGAGTAGAAGATGATTTCGCGTCGAATCGGGCAAACGCTCACAGGCCTTCAATGCAAGTTTAGACTGCCGGTGTAATAAAGAAGCAGTCGATCGCGCCTCGGGGCTGTAGTGGCTGGGGGCATCATGAGCCGGCGTAGATTCGGAGTAAGATATATGCTCTTCACACGTTTGAACAGAGGAAGAACTGACCCAGAGGCCAATTCGGTCTCGCAGCTGAATTCCGTTGGCGAAATCTAATCTCTCACGTATTACGGCTTCTGGGTTCAAATCTCCAACAACGCGTTCAGTGTGTGAGCCCTTGTGGAGAATCGGTGTGATAGATGTTATCTGGGCCGTTGTCACTGTTGTAGATGAATTGGTATCAACAAGAAGCGATTGGGCAACACGGTCCTGGGGCTGTTGCTCTCTTTGGGGTACCTCAGGAACTGTCACGGTGCCTTCACGGCGTTGATTGCTTTGCAGGTCAACAACGGTCTCTGTGACAAGATGACGGCACCGTTTCTAAATAGAATTATGAGCACATGTATCTATAGCTCAGCATATGCTTTCGTCATGGCATGTGAGTTGTATGAGGTCAAAGGGGGATCTCTCACACCTTTTTCCTCTGACAGTGGACACATGCTCTCAAAGCCCTACTGCGTCGTCTACCTTGTGGTATATCAGCGAGCCAGACAAGTTCCATATCTTGTTGACTTAACTATCCTATATGACACATAACCTACCAAGGGTATAAGTATAGCTTATCTCGGTGGGATATGACCGGTACACAAGGCGTGAAATGGGTGTTAATACATACCCGCCGGGCCTATGTCGAGAGTAAAAAAAAGGACCTAGCCGATACGAGTCTCAGACTAAAAGATTAATAGCAAAGCTTCAGCGAATTCCTGCTGTAGGGGGAAAGGTTGGGGCGGGGAGGGGTGTGGAAGCTGCTCTCTCTCATGATTGATTTATTCCTATTGTTGAGGAAACTAACTAGACTAGATATAAGAAGAAAGAAGAAGAAGATAGTCCTGCTAGACGGTATATTTAAGTAGAATAATATACAGAGTTAATAATACCGTCTTCTTCTATTATTTATTCTTAAACGAGATTCGAATTATCCGATAGAAAATTAAAATTATTAGATAAAAAATTAAGATTAACTATATCGAAAGAATTAATATTAAGATTAAATAGATTAATATATTATACAAGTATATTTAATAATAAATACTAGTCCGAACGACATAAATATAAATTAAAATTATTTAAAAAAAACTATTAATAAAACTATATTATTAATTTTTTATTTTATTTTTATAAAATTTATATATACTTTTCGGTCTTTTCTAACTATTTCTATTTCTTTTTTTTATTATAAACGTAGAACTACTGTCTACCGAAAAAAAGTCTTTGTTTTCTTAGATTTTAATATAGAGTCTAGAGAGGCAATAATAGTCTTTTTTTTTAAATTTAAATATAGAATCTAAAAAAGTAACAGTTAATATTATATTTAAAAAAAATAATAGTTAATATTATATGTAAAAAAATAACAGTTAATATTATATCTAAAAGAACAACAGTTGATGTTATATTTAAAAAAATAATAATTAATATTATATTTAAAAAAGTAATAGTTTTGTTTAAAAAAATAATAGTTAATTTGTTTATAAGATTAATTTATTATTTTTTTTATTCTTAAAATTTCTCTTACTTGTTTCTGGAATAGCTATTTTATAGAATATTTATATAGCTTAAGAACTATTTTATTATATATAAAATTATTCGGTACATCAGGATTTATCTAAAAATTTAAAGATTTTAAAGCTGAAGTAGATTCCGCGGTAGTAATAAATACTATATTTAGTTTAATAATAATAAATACTATATTTGTATTAAAAAAGTAGCTGTTAAATAATTATAAATAATTAAATATTAATATAAATACTAGAATAAATAATATTCTATACTAATTATTAGGCTCTTCTAATAGTATAGTTTTTTTTAATAGTATAATAAAAATAATATTTTTATTAACTCTACGAAGAATCTTATTTTAGATTATTTATTTTTATTTTTTACTGTTTAAAAAAAATATAAATATATTTATAATTATTTTATTTTTTAAATATAGTTTAAAAACTTTATTATTTTATAAAATTTTATTTTTATAAAGAATATTATTTTAAATAACTTATTTTTACTTTTTATTATTTAAGAGAAATATTAATATATTTATAATAACTATATTTTTATAATATAATTTAAAAGCTTTATTATCTTATATAATAAGATTAAAAACAAAGACTTTTAAAATATATTTAAATATAAATCTAAAATTAATATCGGCATCGGTTAATAAGATATTTAATTTAAACTTAATATTAATAAATAAAATATTTTATATAAAATTAATATTAATAAATAAAATATTTTATATAAAATTAATATTAATAAATAAAATATTTTGCGGCTTAGAATTAATATTAATAGACTTTAATATAAAATTAGAATTAGTAAATATTAATATAATATTTATTATAATAAATAGTTTAAAAATATAAATAATAAATAGTTTAAAAACTTTCTTTAAGATTAATATTATATCTAAAATATTTAGATACTTGTTAGCTACTATAATTCTAATTTAATAATTAATAAATATAGATATAGATATTATATAAATTAATAATAGATCTGACTTTAAATTTTTAGAAATAATAAAATCTAATAACTAATTTTTTTAATAGAATATTTAGTATAGTAATTTCGGCTTTAAATTCTTTATAAAACAGAATACAGTTCTTTTTATAATCTATTTATTTTAGAATAATAAAATTTTAGTAAAAATCGGTATATAAAATATATTAAATAATATTTATAATAATATTTAATTTATTAACTATTTTATTATATATAATAACAGGGCTTATTTTAATTATAATAATAATTATTTTACTATTACTTATAAAATATTATATATTTAAAAACCAGATATTAAATAGCAGACCAAACTAGCTGTAAAAAATATAAATATAATAATAAATAAAAAGTTATTATATATATAAAAAACAAAAATTTTATTAATAGAAATGCAGGTCTTGCAAAAATTATTTAATAATTAAAATCTACGGAATAATAGTATACTTTATCTATAATAAATAGTTTATTTATAATTAGTATAGTCTATATATTATTTAAACAGATATTTAAAAATAGTTATTAATATTTTTTTTCTGTTATAAATTTATAGCTGTTAGCTACTTTTTTTTAATAAAAATAAATCCGGATTATTATTTTTAATTAATTATATATTTTAAATTCTTTATTTTTCTAAGGCTTTCTTGCAGCTTACTATATATTTAAAATAGTTTAATAATATAGATAATAAAGATATAAAATAAACTAAAATATTATAAAAGAGATAAAACAGTAGAATCAGCGTATAAGTATATAAAATAAAGTATAGAGATATAAAATAAAATAATAAAAAATAGAAATATAAAAAAGTATAAAAGAGTAGAAGCAAAAAAATATAAAAAAAAAAGAAAATAAAAAGTAGAAGTATAGAAGAATATAAAAAAGTAGAAGCAGAAAGATATAAAATAAAAAAAGAAAAAAAAAAGAATAGGAGTATAAAATATTATATAAATATTTTAAAATTATAAAAAAGGTCTTTGGTATTAAAGTACTTTTTATTTATTTATTTATTATACTCTAGTCTATAGCTAGTATATTATATTAAATATTCGGTTAATTAGATATTATTTTTGTATAGGCGTCCGCATGTACATTTAGATATAAGAATATAATTAATTTTATATTTTCTATTTATATCTAGCTGAATATTTTTTTAACTAAAAAAAACTAGCTATATTAACAGTTATATAAATCAACTTTATTAAATACTAGTTCTAGTTAGATAATTAATATTATAGAATAAATAGACTAAAATAGTAGAAAATCTAAATAGTAGACTAAACAACCGACTTTATTAAGTATAATTAAAAAACTAATATATTAATAGTTTAATTTATTTTTAAAAATCTTTATACAACTAATTAAAATTATATATTTTTTTATAAAAATAAAAATAGACTTTATTATTTTTATTAAATTATATAGGCTTGTGGTTTTAGTTATAAATTTTTTTATATTAATTATAGTAAAGTTGTATACTTCTATAATATTAAAATAAATTAAAAAATCTTAATCTTAAAGCAGCTGTCTTATAAGATTCTAAAAATTTAAAAATTTTATTCTAAATATAAACTTATAAAAATATATTTTAGTTATTATATTAAACAAACTGTTTATTATACTAATAAATACAGAAAAATAATTAATCTAATTAATATATAAATATAAAATATATATATATTAGAATATAACTTTAATTATTTAATTTATATATTCTGTCTGTCTATTAATCTAAAAATATTATATAAATAAATATAATTATAAGATATTAAATTTTATGAAAATACTCTTTTAGAATATATTTATAAAGTATATATTATAATCTAAAATAAATATTTAAAATATTCTTTAATTATATTTTTATAAGTATAGTACTAGATATTGTATTTATTATTCTACAGACTATTTAGTATTATCTAATACTAAACTAATATATTTAGTAAATTTATTAATAAATATTATTAACTAATTATATTTATCTATATTAATATTTATTATTTTTTTAGTAAATATATTTTAAACAGATAGTAGACCGATAATAAATCTATAATAATAATATAAAAAAGAATAGCAGAAGAAATAATTAGTTAAAAATCTTTATAAAACTTATATTAATATATTTTATTTATTAAGCAAGAAGAATAGTATTTAATATATTATTTAAGTAAATATTTATTTTAATAAATAGCTAGTCTATCTAATACTTAAAAATATTTATCTAATTTCTAATAGCTTTAATTATTATAAATTATAATAAAAATATTCTAAATTATTAATCTAAATATATAGATTTATCTATCTTTAGCTATAATTAAATCTAATAGATTTTTAATATCTTCGAATCTTACTTATATAATATATTTAAGTATATAAAAAATATTATTTTTTATAAAATATAGTAGTTTTATATTAGAATTAATCTACAGAATCTAAATAATTTATATAATATAATTATTATTAGAATATTTTTAGTATAACTTATTTTTAAATTTTTTTAAGATCTCGAGACCGGATATTTTAAATATTTAGATTTTATAAATATATATTAGTCTAGTATAAGACAGTATGTCTTATATAATAAATAATATATTTAAAATATTAAATATATTTATAATATTAATTATAATATAATCTAAGTTAATTAGTTTATTAAAATTAAAAAATATATAAAAAATATTTTTAGACAGTAAACGGCTTAAAATATTAATAAGATTATTTATTTTACTTAAATAATATTATATTATTAAATAGTATTACTAAATAAACTAAAAAATATATACTAGATATAGATTTAACTATTTAAGTATTATTATATTAAATATAGTTTTTTATATAAGACCGATAGTACTAGTATAGTTAATATAAATAATAAAAAGTATATAAACAGCTTTAATTATAATATATATTTTTTTAATTATTTATATTAAATACAAAACTTCAAGCTTAGTTAACTAGTAATTATATTTTATAAAAGTTAAAATCCGGCTTAAAAATATAATTAGT